CTTCATAATTTAGAATATAATCTGATTTCTTTATAACGACAGCTTACCCAAACACAGGCATGTTCTTGTTGTGGCATTTCATTTAGGTAACGCTGACAAGGTTTGGTAACCGTGCTAACTATTAATATTTTTTAGTTTACATTGAGGCAAGGAAGTAGCTAACATGAGAATGGATGTACTGGGAAAAAGATGAAATTGTTCTTTCGGAATATCAAAAATTATCAAATTTGGTGGGAAAATTCCTGCAGATGCCTACCTAGGTCATTTTTGAATACAGAATGCAGATTTTAATTGTTCAGAGAATAAAGCTTATATAAGCTTTAATGTATACACTGCACAGGAAACGCGGGTGACAAAGTGGTCAAAGCTCTGAGCCCTCCGTTAATTTGTATGCCCAGTGTGAGGAGGCTTCATGGAGCTGAAATGCTCTTTGATCTACAGCGGTTGTGCAGCACTGGGGAAACCCTGTCAAGGTGGGTAGAGCCTGTCAGGTTTTTCCTTTCACCGGCTTCCTGAATGTGGAAGGAAGCCAAAGGCTTTACCCTGACTGCAGCCGCTGGGGTAGTTGTGGCAACCCAGTTTCCTGGTGTTTTTTTTTTTTTTAATGGAAAGCAGCAAATTGTCCATGAACTCAAGATGCGCTTGAGACTGATGTCTTGGCTGCTGAATAAAGTGAGAATCCAAAGACTAACAGACATCTGTAAGGGAGTAAGAAGCTTTAGAACTGTTAGCCTCTGGAAGTCAACTTCGGGCAAGACAGGAAGGAAAATGATCACTGGAAAAAGTAGGATAACTTTTTTTTTAAATGGAGAAAATACATGTTGCTTCAAGGATAAAAGGTATAAAAGATGTATCGTGACAATTTCTAAATGAGGATTATAAAATAAGTACAATAGATTGTAGTTAAGATGAGAGTAAATAAGAAAATACCACTATTGCTTTTTGCATTAGGAATATGTGTATGTGTCTGGAAATGCAGGCATTGGTCTAAGAGCAGATTGCAATATTGTGATGTTTCAGTGTTGGTTTGGCTGTTTTTGCATGTGACATGAGACAGTGCGAATCTCTTGACAGTGATCACTTGGTATTGTAATCGGAAGAGTGACTATATAACGAGGCGCTCGGGAAGTAATCGCACAAAATAGCGGAAAAGTTTTGATCAATAAATATGAAGATGGCTGGCTGGAAACCACATCAGAAGGGAGAGGGGAACTTACAGAACATTTCTGTAGACTCACAGATGATGGTATACTAAATGGAGAAGATTTGTAAAATGTCTTATCTGAAAGACTTGCATATAAAGATCTGTGATCATAATGTCCCCATTTGGGGCATATTTTCTTGTGGGGCTGTGCTGTTTCCTTGGGAATGACAAAGGGAAAACTCACCTAGAGTTAGCGTGTAAAAAGAAAGGGAGATCTGAAAGGTAGCAACCATATACAAATAGCTGTGACTGCTCAATTCATAGTGTCAACCAAAGGAACTGAGTTGGGAAAATAATTTTATTTAGGGGTTTACCATAGAACCCTCACTATTTGGTAATTGTGGGGCAACACAGGATACTTCTTCCCTTGGTCAAAATACAAAAGAAAAATATGTTTTAAGCTCAAATTTGAAGTCATTCCCAGTTCGGCCAAGGGGAAGGGAGCGCTACAGATGGAAGTCAATATAGATCTCCTCAGTTGAAACATAACATCTTGAGATCCCACGAGTGCTTCACAGACCTTGCCAAGTCAACTAGAATTTAAAGCAGCTCCCTCTTTGTTCAATTTTTTAATGAACTGTTTAATAAACTTTTAATGAACAGCTGGGTATATCTCAGATTATTACCTAAGTTGATGTTTTATCTGAATCCTTTCTATGCCAACAGATGTTGCTTAGGACATAAACAAGGCTTTTCCATTTCTGCCTTTTCTGGCCTGCACTTTTTGGATTCTTTTATATTGCCAGTCTTGCAAGTGTTCGTTCCTTGCAACATCGCTGTTCAGAGAAAAATTACGTAGGTTAGTCTTGTTCATATCACTCCTTCCTCACTCCTTCATGCAAGTCCATTTTTTTTCTAAATATACATGTGGATAGCAGGCTTGTACTACATGAATCACCTGTTTTTTTAATATATATTTTAATAGCCTTTATTTTAAAGGTGTTTGTAAAAGCATGTAGGTTTCTTTCCATATAATCACTTGCATAATTCTATTTATAGTACAAACTTAGTACAAAATATTAAAAGGGAGCACGACTATAATAGGAAAAGATGGTGAATATTAGAAAGTTGCAGCTAAAACTGTGCAAAGGTAGTAGTAAAGAGCGTGAGGACCAAGTTAGAGTCTTGAGTTGCATTGTGACAGTTCCAGACTTAGCAGCTGGTTCTTATCCTTACATCTGACAGACCAAATCTTTGACTTCAGTAACACATACCCTAATAATCCAAATATTATTTAGTTTATTTATGCATTAGAAAAGACCCTTTGCAGTTGAAGTTGTCATTTTGTAATCCTTTTAAGGTGAATTGTATACTTTGCTAGTTCTCTGACCTTTGTCCCAACCCCTTAGGGCAAGCGTGTTGGGTAAATCAATTCTAGCAGCCTTGATTAAGAATCTCCCAGATATAAGTGGATGAAAGTTGTGATGTAGTTATATTTGGGAGAACCCTGCTGTTAATAGCTCTGTTCCTGTTGTCCTATCACTTAGCAATAGGAAATGTGAATCTCCTATCTCCCTGTGTATTTGGGTGCTGCTAATTTAGGAAAATCTTTACGGTTCCCAAAACCAGAGATTTTGCTTTCTTTTTTTTTTTACCATATTTCTCTGAGTGATTTCACTGTCTTTTGCTGTACACTGGAGTGGTTTGGGCTAAAGGTCCCTAGGCTCACTGGGGAGAACACCTCCCTTCAGGGTCTAACTGGCATTTTGGTCCTCAATCCTATCAAGGACACATAGCTGCTGACCACATTAATATCTGAGGAAGGCTGACTGGTGAAAGTAAAGAAATCATTACTTTAATGACTGTTGTAGGCTGATACTACAGAATTTAAACAAGAAATACTTAAAAGGGGATGTTTGGAAAGAGAGTGGTGGAAACCAGTCAGAGTTGGTTAAAGAAAGTAAATATTGTGCATCAACTGTTTACCGATGTTAGAGCCACAACTGATGCTATGAGAACTTTTTTGGGTGTTGTTACCTTTAAAGTGCCTGAGATTAGATACCCTTCTGCGATCACATGTAAGAGACTAATGCCTGAAAAATAATTGCAACCCATTGCATTCCTATAATTAGGTAAAAGCACAACATGTCTCAGAACAGAGAAAGAAAGGTGAAATATGTTTTTTATTTGTTGATTTGTTTTAAGGAAAAATGTGGCAGGAGTGTGATGAAGATCTTATACTCAGATTTTTCAGCACTCAGATATGCTGCAAGAACTGCCATGGTAGAAGAGATTAATGTAACAAAAAACTAATGTCAAACACATTGCCTTTTTCTTTTCATACAGATTTTCAAAAACTAATTTTATCTATTTTTCTATATATATATATTTTTAATTATTTTTCTGTGTAAACTTCATTTTAATAAAGCATAAGTTTGAGGAATAGTTCAGGCTTTCACCTAAACAACAGCTGATCTTTAAGGCAGCTGGAGCACCCATTTGGAAATCAATATTTATATTTGGAATGTATAGTCTTTGATCACTGTGAATTAAATACCCCTTCGAAAGATAGGGCTCTCTACAGAATCCTATGATTTATCTTAAGATCCTTTTTTTTCTTTTTTCTTTTTTTTTTTTTAATGATCCTACTTGAAAAATAATCTTCCCCCTCTGGCTATGTGTCTACTCTGTAGAATAAACCTAAGAGTTTTTAAAGTGTTGTGGTAGCAGCAGTAGATCAAAAGAAAAGCAAAAAGGCAAAAGCATCTTCTTGGATCAGTCTTTTATATTGTGTGGGTAGGGGCCTGTAAATGAAAAGTGTGTGTGTAAATATGTATTCCATGTAAAAAAGTAAAAGCCTACATTCATTTTCTTTAGCCTATTCATTTTCTTTATATGCATGAAAAGAAGTATGGGCTGGTGTAGTGTTTTACTTGCAACGTTTTCATGGGAAAAAAGTTCCAAGTGCTGCTTCTGACTCTTTATTAAAGCCTCCTGACTTACTGAGATGCAGAATAACCTGTTGAGCATGCTCATTCTTTACATTTGCATCAAATAGCATGTTAAGCATGGAATGTGCTTTAGCAGCAACTGTATTCCTACAGGCCTGTTTGGATCCACGTTTGCCTCCGGAAACCTATTTCAGCAAATAATTTTGAAAATGGTCTCACTTAAGATAGCCCTGCTGGCAGGGGATGGCTGGCAAGAGTGGAGCAGACTTTTTTTCATGAAGGTGATTATTGTAAAATGTTCCCGATACACTAGTGACCTTGAAGAGTGAAGTGGATCAGTTTTCAAAGGCTGACATTGAAAATGGATTTGGGATACAGTCCAAATCTATTGCAAATTATGTTGGTCTCAGTCCAAAGGGATTTTAAACCTTGAAAAGAAATTCCTTTGTACTAATCCAGGTTAAAAGGAGCAAACTGGTCTATGTAAAATTTGTTTCCCCAAAGGTTGAACTGACACGCAGAAAACATAGAAACTTTAATGTGGATGCGCACGCACATGCCACACACATACACATGCAAACACAAATGCCCACGCACGTGCACAAACACGGTTCTCTATGAAAAGGTCTATAGCTGAGTTAAGATCCTTATGGTTGGCATATCATTTTTTGTCCCCTCAGTTGCAGGTACTTGCCTCTTACGCAGATGAGATAATTCATTCAGATTTTTCTCCAGGTAGCAGAGGCTGTAAAAATGCTATTTTGTCACTGTTTTCAGGGACTTGTATAGCACAAACTTTAAAGCGATACTGATTCTTTTACCATACCTTACTGAGTTATAGGAAGGCAACCTAATTATTCTCTTGTAGGTCCCGTCCTGGACCAGTCATTGAATTTCACATCAGTCAATGTTCTTGTGAGCAAACTTGGGAAAGAAATCATCCAAACACTGTCCGTGATAATTCTTCAGCAGCTGCTCACAATAGGTATGACAGCCTGTTACTTTTTTCTCCCATGCAAGCTCACAAAGGATTCCTTTACTGGTACAAAGTTTACTTTTCTTGCTTATTGCTATGGTTTCTCTTTCCCGTGCCATTTATTACAGATACTTTTCAAAGATTTGTTCTTTTTTTTTTTTCCCCCCCCCCCCCCCCTTCTATTTTACTGAACTAGGATAGTATGCATCTGGAAGGAGAATAGGGTTGTTACCTTGCAGACTGGCACAGATTAAGTACTCTGAGCCCTGTGGGGTAAAATGGAAGCTTAGTTATTTGAGCTCCTGACCTCTAAGGAAACCACAAAATCCCACCTTGGATGCTTTGTGTGTGAGGAGGGTACATTGCATTCTTAATTCCAAGAAACTGCGTAGATCTGTGTTGTTGCTTCTGTAGAAGTGGAACAAAGCACTGCTTCGCAATGTCGAAAAAAAAGTCAGTGCTGTAACACTGAATGAGTTCCCTGGTGGCTTTCTATCAAAGACATTTTTAGAGGCATTTGAGCACCAAAGTGTTCTTTGTGCTTTTTAAAAATCTCTCATGTGAAAACAAAGGTGATTTAGAAAGGCTTTTCCATTGGAAAGGCTTTGGTAAGACTTCATACTGGTTTCACAATTTCAGGACAGACGTTCTTAATCTAATAACTGCTTGCTTGCAAACAAAATCATGCTTTCCCAAATGCATCCTTAGTAATAAGGAAGCCATAATGAGCGTTTGGATACCTGATCTGGATACCTAAAAAGGATGAGTTCTGAGCAGTGTACCTTGAAATAGCTGCCTAAGAGACAGCAGTGCTTTTAGTTCAATTTTGACTGTTACATAAAGGTGTATTAAATTTTCTAGTGCGCATCTTCACTTTTACTGCAGGCTGGATTTGTTTGCTTTTCTTCCTATGCTTCCTTAGTAATTTGTTCCTAGCTTCTAAACCTTGTTAGCTCGGGTCCTACTGAAGCCGGTTATGTTTTTTTGACATCATATATGTGAATGGTAGTTTTGGCCATGTATGTGAATGGTAATCGGGGTTCTCTCTCTGGAAGTTCTTTTTAGTCTGATAACTACATGTTACCAGCCTAACTTCTGTGAATGATTAAAATACGCACCGGAATAAATTCTGCTCTTGGACCTATAAACTCAGTTTCCTAATATTTACAATCAGTTACGTCATTCATGTATATTGCATACCATGCAGGGGGTACCTATAAGGCCAGGACCTCGCTATGCTTCCTAGTGTATTGACGTGTTGTAAAAGACGATCCTTGCTGCAAAAAAGCCGAAGATCTTTGAAGACGAGGCTTAGGTCATAAGAATGGTCTGTCACCATTTTGTTACTGCTGTATTGTAAAATACTCATCTCTTCTTCACAGAAAAATACATCTCAGTGACTATTTTTTATCATCATCATGTGCAAAAGAAGTTGCCTTATTGTACTGTGAGGCATGCATATATTTTCAGTAATCATATTATTTCTGCTGCAGATCTGTGGATGTTGTATTTGTGCTTTTGTTGCTTAAACGCTAGAGCTGGCTTAATTTTCTAGTTTCAGTGCTTCCCTTAACACAAACTACATTTAAAAATGGTATTTTTTGGTTTAGTGAAATTGCAATAATGGGTCGAAAACTTGCAGAATTACTGCACATGTTATTTTTAATGAATTTTGTGGGTTTTTTTTTTTTTTGGTAATGCCGTGTGGCATCAGTTTACAGTACATTATGCCCTTTTTCAGGAATGTAAGACTAGAAGGGGACCGTCTGGATTATCAAACACAAGTGCTGCACAATTGCAGGCAACAGAACAGATCTGGTGCAGAAGGGCCCTCAGAGTGTCTTTTCATATACCCTCGCTCACCAAAGGCCGGAGAGCACTTCCCAAAACCTTAAACCTTAAAAGAAAGTCAGGTGTTTTTAATTAGAAGAAAGTGCAGTGAACTGCTATTTCAGCTTTATCGTGGCTAACAAGAAAAACTAAGGTGTAAACGTTTACATATAAATTGCAAGAAAAAAAAAGAAAGCATAATTAACTGGGAATAAGATTCAGAAGACAAAAATTTTGCAGTTTACTTATTGCCAACTCCATCTTTGAAAGCAAAAACGAGCCATTAGCTGGCACATCAACTGCTTATAAACCTCTTACCAGTTTAGAAAGGATTGATGAGTATTGAAGAATGGCTGTCCAAAGCCCTATCACTCTAAACTACAAGAGAGAACTCATTTCATAGCATAAATTATCTGAGATAGGGATATAAACTAACCGTTATGAAGAGATATTCTGGTAATATAAACATTCATTGTAAGCAGTATTTTAGTGGGCTGATTTGAGTTAATTTGGGAAAAACAGCATCTTTTGTTCCGAGAAAGAAACTGTGTTTGTTACCATAACATTATGCAGATCAGCAGCCATTAGAGTAGCGTTTAAGCTGATTTTTGGAGAGAGGAGGTTTTCAGAGACATAAAGGGGGCAGCCAGTTGTTTGATTCCTTAATGAGTTGAAAAGAGTGAGGTTCTTGTTTCTTAGTCTTTTGAAAGACGTATCTTTTGCTTATATTTGGGGGAAAAAGAAGAGGTGAATACGTTATCTATTTGGAGTTCCTTTATTCATGCGGGTACACACAGTACTGAATTATCTCCAGAAGTCTTCCACGTGAGGGAACTTTTTCCCCTGGTCCTTTCTCCCTTGAGATCTCTATGCATAGTAGATATATTCCTGTTGATTTTTAAGGATTTGTTGGGGGCTTTTTTCCACAGTATCTTTTTTTTTTTTTTTTAATTATTTTGTGTTGCTTTTAGGATAATTTTATATCATAAAATAAAAAAATTTTACCATTGTCTGAGTGAAAGAAATCACTCACTGGAACCTTTAATACTATGGAGGAAGATGGAATGACTGTGTTAAACGAGCACATCTGCGTCATGGTAAAGCTATCAGTTCTTTCCTACAGCTATTAGGTGAGTGGTCCTAAAACACCTTAATAGTTATTTCAGTCAATATTAATATATGCAAACACATAAATTAGAGCGTATGTGCACCTACACATGCATCAGTTCACATACATGAAGTCTTAAGTGGGGAAGTCACGCATGGTACAGAATACGTTCCCTCTTGAAAACAGCTTCTCTAGTGTTCCCAGTTGTTTTTTGACAGGTCTCTCAGATCCTGCCCTGAATCCTCTTGGCTTCATTAATGTCTGGCATAAGCATCACGGATATATCCATCTCCCACTTACTCTGACTTGAGCTACTTGCATAAATGCAAGGATGAAAGCTGGCCCGTGGGGATGAAATAACACAAGGAAAGGCTAAAAATAGGGCTGTTGGCTTGCTGTTGGCTACACCTGTGTATTCCCACTAAGGTGATGTGCTCTGCTGAGGTGTTATGAGCGGATTGTGCTTAAGGAATATAAAATCAAGAAGTCAGATTAGATTGTTTATCATATCTATATTCTTAAACTGCATGTTTATGGGGTTTAAGTCCTCACGTATTTCTGTACTCTGTGTAGGTTATTCAGCTTGCTTCGGTGTATCTTCACGTGATTTTGTCACCTTCAAATGATTTTCAGTGATGCCTAGAGGAGAAGACAGTTGATCTTGGAAAAATAAGAGTATGTGTTACAGTGATTAGTTTTTTAATTTTTATTTTTTTATTAACTGTTGGTAGCTGGTATCCATGGCCATCTTCTCTGGCTCTTATGCAGGAATAGCTCAGGTAAAGCTTTATTAATTTGACTGGGAGTTTTCTGTAGCAGAGATTGGAAGTTTTGTTCATGAGTGTCATATTTAATTTAAATATATGTCCCATAATTTCAGTTGTTATTGTAAACTAAGTAAGTGTCAGGAGACTTTTTAAATGATTTTTTTTTTTAAGTTGTAGTAATATGCAGTTAAAGAAGCTGTGTAGAAAGTTATGAAACAACTTTGTAGCTGTATACAGAAATTTTATGTAAAATAATTTAATTTGTTCATGCTTCCATAGTTAGTACACAATACAGGGAGTACAGAACACTAGTTCATAAATTTCAGAATGTTAAAATAGGTAGCAATTACAAATAAAGCAAAGTAAACAATAGAAATGCCAGAATAGGTCCCTGTGTATTTCTCCAGTGATTGTGCAGCTTTATCTTTTCCTTCTTTATGCAGAACGGTTTCCAACAAGGCCAGTTCTTTCATAACATTTATAAAGAAGTATCAAATACGCCACCACAGAAATAGAGGCAGACACTGTTTCATGTATCAAATACTAGGTAACCTTAATATTGATTTTTTTATTATTATTATTTTATTTTTGGGGTAGGGGGTATCTCTTTTTAAAAGTAAATTGTTGGGAAGCAATTCTGTCTAGCATTTCCAGGACAAGTACATAAAACAACAAATCTAACAAATAATGCGCACTACTGAACATTACATTTAAAAACTAAATAACATTTAGTGCAGTTTTCAAATGATATTGTAACAGTATGGCCTTAGTGAAAGGCAGGCAGCAATCATACAGGTTAAGCAGGTCAAGCAAGCAGTATTATTTCTGTTTTGGAGCATGGGGCCTTCTTGTATTATTTTTATAAATACTACATTGCTTGCCTCTTTAGGTTTATTGTCTGGTTTTTTTATTGTTTCATGTTGCTTTGCTACTTACATCCAAAGGATTACCTCTTGTCAAAGTCGCACCTTATGTCTGCAGGAGACAAGGAATAGCTTTAAATAAGCCATTTGACAACATTCAGTAGACAGTATTGAGTGTCAATAGTGCTTTGTATTCTGTCTCCAGTATCTCATGGTACAGTACCAGACCTGATTTGAGGAGGTTCGGGAGACTTAGACTGAGCAAACAGATGTTCTTCAGATAAAAATAAAACCTGAGAAAATTACTGGGAGGCGCTTTCCAGCAGACCAAACCTTTGTCCCTAGAAGATAATGAGGCTTGGATAAGTTGGCCCTACTTTTATATTTTCCCTCAGTAAGATTTAGGCAGAATTGGAAAGAATTCTTTTTTTTTTTTTTTTT